TAACATGAGAGCTCCGGAAAACGTGGCTGTCCGCCATATTGGTGATGTTTATTCTATCACATGGTAAAGTTTACAGTTTCCCTCATTTCATTGTTTTCTGTTCACTTGTTTGTTTGCTTTCCTAACAATCTTAGCTATTGTTGCCAACAAATGCAAGGAGCATATACATGAAAATGTGTACAGCTAATAACACTTTAATCCCTGAGAGTGACTAGCATCTAATTTCTTCATTCAATATCACCCCTGAGTCACATATTAAGGTCATGAGAGTAAAGGAAATGATAATCAACCGAAAAACCTCTCAATTGTTAAACAAATTCTCCTTGCCAGCACATAAGGAAATATATAGAGAACAGCATGGAGAATATGCATTCTCACATTGGGGTGTAAAGGGTTAAAGACATCATGTAATCAGTTATATGTATGTAGAGTACTGTTTGAATATATGATTGCAGTATGTACAAATGCCAAGTAAACATTTTATGGTCTTCTACTCTTCCATGCCGGAGGTTGCCTTGTGTAAAAAAAAAAAAAACCTTTTCAAAGACACTTCTACAATGGTAGGTACACACAACTGACATGTATGAGTGAAGCATGTCAAGCATTAAGATATGATTGTCAATTTGCCTTTTATTACTTGCAAACAGCTTATTTCTATCAGCTTTAAAAACTTCTGTGTCCCCACTTTCATTAAAGACATAAGCTACCAGCAACAGTTTTTCCATTGCAAGTGTTTCATAACATCAGATTCTCATCACATTTTTGTTACATTTGAAAGCATAAGAATAATTTAATCATTACAGTACGATGAAATCATCCATTTTAACCCTTTAACTCCCATGAGTGACCAAGACAGAATTTCTCCTTACAATATCAAAACAATATCAAGCAGACAAGTGATGAGAATAAAGAAAAATATCAGTTAGGGGATTATAAGATGATCCAATACTAATCCTCCAAACTAACATCACAAGAACTGTATGGGAGATATAATAAGGAGAATTACGAGTGAGATCTTGGGGGTTAAAGGGTGAAGTCCCACTGGTGACCTAAACAGAATTTCTCCTTCCGTTATTAGTATGATATAGAGCAGACAAGTAACAAGAATTAAGAAAAATATCAATTAGGGGATTATTGGTTGATCCAATTCCAAGAGAATTAATTTGGAGTTAAAGGGTTAAGACGCATATGGTAATCACATGTACCAGAAAGACAGCAAATAAATATAACATTATACTCCAGTAAAGTGTTTGTATGTAGAATGAAGTGTCGAACTCATTGAAATTAGGTTGACTTCATTATTAATATTTTAGTTAAAGAAATGTGCAATATCTCTTTACAAAGATGAAAAGGGAATGTCATTTATGAATTTTAAAATAGTAAATGCCAAAAATATAACGATGAAATTTAAAAAACTACTAAAATAAAGCATATCTATTCACTAAGAATAGATTATAAGATTATTAAACCCTATAAAATAGGGTTTGTGAAAAAAACCAGGGCAATAAAATTAAAGATTCAGGAGAAGCATATGATTTTAACTTGTTTACTGATGTTCTCATCTGAATTCAATCTGGAATGAGAACTCTGCAAGACTTCTGTTTTATCTTGAATTAAAACATAAAATTTAGTTATTTGCAGGCAGGTTGAGGAAATTAAAGGAATACATGTTACATAAAAAGAAACCCCTAACAATAAAATAAAGCAGAAGCATATTGCCTACATGTCTATGCTTCTGAATACAGCTAATAATACGTATTTTTTAAGTAATTATCTACATAATTATGTAAACCAAGTGCAATATATGGTCATAAAAACAATTTTATTCTTACCTTCCTACTTGAAGGGTGCCTTGTGTATCAAATATATCAAGTTCAGTACCTCCAAAGTCACAAGCCAGGCTTTTGGGGCTACAAAATAATAAAATAATCAATGAGTTATGTCAGGCCAATTTATCGAGGGTTAATTAAGCATAGTTTCCTACAATCGTATGAAAGTTTAAAATGTGCTTCACCAGTGCTATATATACGGATTTGTCATTCTTAATTACTATTGAAAGTCCGAGGGTGTGACTCAGTTTTACTTCAAAAGAGAACATCCCAGCAGGTTACAGAAATGGTTTGCGAATTGTAATCTGTTAATATGTTGACAAAATTTCCCTAAATTATGGTGCCGATACGAATCTATTATTCATAATCGCTTATGGAATTCCGAGACTAAACCTCAATGAATTTAACGGAAAATATCCAGGAAGGTTACAGAAACAGACTCTCAAAAACTGCTCTTGAATTCGATAACTGTAAACAACAATTATTTACGCTAACCATGTGTTTACCAGCGCGCTTGTGAGGTCAAATTGCCAGAACCCCGTTTAATTGCACGATCACAGCTCGGACGCTTCTTGCAAAATGTGATGACTACCAATTTTAGAGATTAACTCTTCAGTTTCTAGCATAAGGAAAAAAATATCGTATCGCAAGCATCTTCATCATAACGCCTCGAGATGTTGAGCGAAGAGAAAGTGGCTCCATGTTTTGTGACACAAACCATTTCCTGAAGTTCGAACGAATCGAGTAGAAAGCATGAAAACATAGCGCTGAAAAGTACGACAACCAAATAATTAAATTCACTCATCCCGCTGTAGAACCATCTCCATTTTGCCCGTAAGTTTGTTTGCACTACACATTTGCGGTCCGTAATTTGATTCTCAGATGTTTGACGGGTTCTCACATGATAATATCGTCGAAATCAAATTACCGCGTTTGACTTAATGTAAACATAAACATCGCCGACTCAATCCCATTTTATTTTAATTTTGGGAAAGGCCATTATTTCGTTCTTAGGGTAAAACAACACATCTTCGGCAAAGCGCAAATTTTTCAAATGAATAGAGTAAATCCTGCGATGATTAACTGAAGAGAAAAAAAAGGAGAAACTTGCGCTCGCCGTTCGACATCATTTGAAAACTTTCTAGGCAAAACAAAATGCGTAAGATAACTTCTTTTCCCATAACACCACGACTGTATTAAACTTTCAAACGAAAGGACAAGAAATAACTTGAAGAATACGAACACTTTGCAATATTATTCGAGTGATGAACCGGCGTAAGAGTTTTTAGGCGATGAATCCCAGAGTCAATGTTCAACCGAAACGTGATCAGTCGAATTAAAAACTGAAGCTGGTATCAAACGACGACTGGCAAAAAAAAAGTTTGAATTTTTTTCTGAGTCTTAGCGTAAGAGAAAACCCAGATAGGACACGACTTACCTCCTCTTTTTTTTTCGGATCCTCTGCAATTCGCTTCTCTTTATTGATGACCTCTTTTCTGTCTGTTTTCAGAAGCGACTTTGTATTTCCTTCTCGCGTTACCCTTCGCTAGAAACTCGCCTTTTTACTTATGCCCTTTATTGTGCTCTTTCGTGTTCCTCTTGCCGTATTCTGCCTATTTTGGCTTCCTTTGTAGCTTTCTGGCGCGATTTTCTGGACTCGCTTTACGCCGTTTACTTGTTGCTTTCTTTGGTCGCTCTGTCTCTTTATATCCAGCCCATTTTCAATTAAAATCCTCTCACCACGAACTTAAATCATAACAATTTCCTCCGGTTGACAAAGCTTAAACTCTGCCGGTATTGTTGTCTTACGATTTGTTTAGAAATTGCAAAATACTGAGAATTACTGTTCAACTACATCCTGACCAGTTTGATTTCCCGCTCAAAACGCGGGTGGCAAATTTCATCTACAAGCTCACGTAAAGCCCTCGTGCAATGCCTAACCGTGTGCCCGCAGTACCCTACACTGCAGCTCGACGTCTGAGTATGCGCACTTTATCGTCATCTGACGGTGTCTCTTGGTGCACACTAAAGTTACGCTCGCAGTCGCGCCTGCGCATTACCTTCTCTCTCGCCCTTCACTACGTAATGGCTAAGATAGTGCCCGTTGTACAGTTGGCCGCGCATGCTAAAAGTAGCACCTTGTACAGTCGTACGGTCGTACGGTCGTACGGTCGTACGGTCGTATAACCAAATTTTTTCGGCTTGATGGGTTACTACTAGTTTGTATAGTTATGGGGCTACGCTCTGCGAGCTCCGCTAATATCTGTCAAAGGAGCAGAAATAAGGTGAAATGAAAGTTTAATTACATGCATTGGGATACTGTCAAAGGCAAGAGCCTTCTTCGGAGCAAACATGCCACAAATGCTCTCCAGCTCACCAGTTGTGGTGGGCTTTAAGTTAATGGAAGGATGGTTATTATCACCAAGGTAAGAACAGAAAGAGGGATTTACACTGGGTATAGATCGAGCTAGATTAGGACCAGTGTTTGTAAAGTATTTACAGAATCTGTCAGCAATTTCAATTTTCAATGGGATCTATTGCCTTCAGATTTAAATGATGTAGGAAGAGAAGACTTATTTTTACGCTTGTTGATAACTTAATTTGACAATTTCCAAGTTGTTTTGAGGTAATTTCTAGCACTCTCAAATTTGGAGTCATTGTATATTTGTTTGGAAATGCGCATAAGATGGATAAGTTTGTTTTTGTAGGCTTTACACTTCGTCTCAGAAGGTGTTGAAGGTGATGTGACAAATTCTTTGAAGAGTCTGTTCTTCTTGTTAAAGGCTTTCAAAAGTCCAGGGTTGAGCCTTGGAGAAAAGAAGCTACCCTCGGGAAATATAAGGATCTAAAATATATACAAAAAGATAAAATCTAGTTGTAGTAAGAGGAAAAACCAATGGTAGAAAAATCTAATCGTACAAAATTGATGTTAATTACACTGGGTCAGAAAGTTTGCATTCTTTGAGAAGTTTGTATTCAAGGCCGTTTTGTAAATAAATTCCTACTCTGCCACCTGTTTTTGATTTACGATGGTTGGAGACAAAATTGTATCCTGTGATGTTTACAAGTTCTGCAGTGCAATCAGTCAGCAAAGTTTCTGAGACGCCAATCACAGGGAATGGCATATTAAGATTTCTCAGCAACGAATTCAGTTGATTGAAATTTGTCATTAAGCTTTGAGTGTTGAATTGTATGATAGAAAAACCACTCGATTGTTCAGATCTTCCTCAACATGTAGCCACTATTGGGCAGCCAGGTGATAAAACTGGAGTCGGGATTCAGATGACTATAAAGCGGATGAAATAATTTGGGCCATCCAACAGGATTAAATAATAATGTTTCAACAAGGCCAGCATCTTAACTCATAGGAGCTTAAGAAAATTTATGAACTGCTAAATTAAAAGAACTATTATCCAAGGGATTAAAAGGGAGAAGAGATTGAAAAGGTGTGTCATCAGCCATTGTCGAAGCAACAAATTAAATTACAGATTGAGTTACAAACTTTAGAGTACCTAGTTGGCATAAGCTAGACCATGGTCATCTCCAGTGGGCTAAGAGACTGAAAAGATAAATATACTCCTATTACTGTGGAGAGATATTTTTTTACTCACTTGGCAGGTAAAATAAGAAAGAAGTGAAAAAAGAAGAAAAAGAAAAACAGGCTGGAGCTTAACAGGCTAGAGCTTAACAGTCCATCTCACTTGTTTTAACTTCAGGCCTACCATAACATATCAGTCTATTACAATTTGAAATATCTTTGTATGCTTATCTCAAACGCTTCCAAAACTATCAATGTTTTAAGCTCTATTGAGACGCTTTTCCAGGAATGTCTTAGAAGACCTTCAATAAAATTGCAGTTAGGTATAAAATCACTAACCTTTGGCTTGTGATTTTAAACCTGATAAAACACTGCTGCTCATTTATGAAACACTACACAACTAGTATTTGGAAAAACCTTTAGTTTGTTGAGAGGTCTGGGCTGGGTCAAAGCATTGTTCTTGGACAAAACACTTTATTCTCACAGTGTCCTTCTCTACTCAGGAGTATAAATTGGTAGTGGCCAATTATCAAGGAAGCCTGATAAAATGCTTGGGAGGTTAAAATTCCAATGACTAATGTTGTTCAGGAGGGTCCAGCAATACTCGTAGTCGCTTCATGCTTTGTAAACTAGGATAGTCTCCAGCTGGATGGGCCACTTGGCTCCGCTACAGACTTTACCTTTTACCTCTACTAACACATCATGGAAAGGTTCTGACTAAGATACTCCTGGCTTGCATAGTCCTCATGGCTATTTCAGTTTGTGTAAAGAGGTATATACTGTCTTCGTTGACATAAGTATACTGGTTTGTTTCATAAGCTGGAGGCTCTGGCAATACAACCGCCCTTACCTCAATAGTTTGAAAGGTATTTTCGCAGTGGGTCGTCATAAGGGGCAATCGTTTGACTGGCAAACAGTCCAGCAACTCTGGAGTCCCTTAAGGGTCTGTGTTAGGATCGCCTCTATTTCCTATTTACATTCATAGTATTTCTGATGTTCTCACCACTCTTCCTTTGATTTATGCTGATGATACTACTCTGTTTGACATTGTTGACAAGCCGGCCGAGCTGGTGGCCTCAATTCTGATTTAACTACAATTTCTGAGCTGGTTGACAATTGTTGGTAACTATGAATCCTTTTAAATCTCGCAATGTTGTATAAAGTGTAATAAACAACAACTCCCTTCTATTTCATAACTCCAAGGTGGCCAAAGACGTGGAGTCTCACACTCACTCAGGTTTAACTTTTCAGTGTAGCATGTTGCTGCGAAATAATCTCATTAAGATATACGAGAAAGCTTCTAAGCGATTTAATATGCGGAAATTTGTTGACCACAAAGTTAATAGATCCATGTTAACATGTTTGTACCTGATAAAACCACTCATGGAATATAGGGATGTCATCTGGAAGAACAGTCATGATTGTGATTCATGAAAAAAACTTTAACTTTAACTTTAATAGGTAATCCTCAAGGGGCTTTTCAGCGTCTATTTACATAACTTCATCAGATCAATAATATCAACAACTAATGACTATTTACATTAATATCACTAATCATATCAAAACTAATAACTGTTTGCAAGAATGTGACTCTTAAGTTTCTCCTTAAATGCCTTTAGGGAGGCACACTGTCTTAATTCAGGAGATATATTGTTCCAGAGCCTCGCCCCTCTAAAGGCAAAGGACCGCTGACCAGACGCTGACCTAAAGAATGGAATCCGTAGAGTTTCACGATTTCGTGTCCTACGATTATGAATGTCCAATCTCTTAAAAAACTTACTACTCAAGTAACTAGGGGCAAGATGGTTCATGCATTTATAAATCATGACAGTGGCTCTGAAAAATAAAAGCTGATCTACAGAGAGCCAGTTTAGTTCGCGTAATAGAGGGGTCACATGATCGAACTTTCTAGTCTTAGTAATAATTTTACAAGCAAAGTTTTGCACTAGTTGTAACTTCTTGATGTTGATCGTAGAAGTATTGGACCACACTGTCGAACAGTACAGCATTTTACTAAAGACTAACGATGATATTAATTGTTCGAGCGTTTTCCCATCAAAACTATTTTTTACTCGATTCATCTGGCATAGTTTTGCCATACAGGAGGACACAACATTGGAAACATGGCAGTCATATGTGAGGTGTGAGTCCAGGGCAACACCTTAATCCTTTGTTGACGGGACTGGTTCTAAGGACTTGCTCAGAAAAGACACCACAGGAGAAGAGGAAAACCTCTTCCTCAGCTGCTTAGTAGCGAAGAACATAAACTTGGTCTTGTCTGGGTTTATCAAAAGCTGATTTTCACAGCACCAAGCTGCGACGCGCGGTAGGTCTTGTTCTAGGTTTACAATCGCTGTGTCTACGTCAGGTAAAGAAAAGGACAGGAAGACCTTGGAATCGTCGACATATGATTCAAGACCACACACTTGAGGCGCGCGAGGCAGATCGTTTAGATAAATGCAAAATAGCAATGGTGAGAGAATTGCCCCCTGAGGGACTCCGTGGGTGATAGGCAGGGGATCTGACAAGATGGAATTGATCCGAACTGACTGTGATCGGCCCGTTAGATAGCTTTTAAACCAGTTCACTACATGCGGAGAAGCTCCGACGGACGAGAGTTTAGCAAGCAGTTTATCATGATTCAAGCTGTCGAAAGCCTTCGAAAGGTCTAACAGGGTCAAAGCGGTTAAGTTCTTCTTGTCCATTGCCTCCAGGAGGTGGTCTGCCATGAAGAGGCTTAAAGTCTCGGTCGAATGAAGTTTCTTATTTCCACTCTGGTGAGAAGAGAGTCTACCGTTGCTAAAAAGATATGCGCTGAACTGATTGAGAACAACCTTGTCACATATCTAAGAAGGAACAGCAAGTAGTGACAGGGGCCGATTATTTGAGGCTACTTCATGGTCCCCTTCCTTAAGTAAAGAAATCACTTCCGCGAATTTCCACACATCGGGATACTTAGCAGACTCGAGAGAAAAGTTTATAATCTCCGTAAGGGGACCCAAGATGACAGGAAGACAATCCCTGTAAACTCAGGTATGTATTTTGTCAGGGCCTGGAGACTTGTTTAGCGGCAAAGATGAAATAATGCGTCTTCACACGACACACGCTTAAAGTCAAAAAGATCTCCAGCAGGCGGTGATGGTAACTGCTGCTCTTACCAAGTGATGTTATTAATTTCTGCAAGATGTCTAGCAGCGAGGGCTGCAGTCTTACCAACTGACGTAAAAAACACATTAAACTCATCAGCGACTGTCTTCAGGTCTTTGGTATAAACTCGTTGAGGCTCTTTGTTCTTTGATGGAATAACGCTATTGATTACTTTCCAGAGTGAACTGGGATTGCTCTAGGACAAGGGACAAATGGACAAGGGCGATGGCGAATCCTGGTTGTTCTGACGGGAGCATGCAAGTCCAACGTGCTTCCAACAACATCATTGAGAGTGTTAAGTTTGGTATCTACATCACCGCAGCTAAAGATGCACAAGAGCTGGTCTGATTGGTTAGCAAGATCAGTAGTAAATGCGCCTGGCTCATAGTTCTTATAACTACGTTCTGTTATGTAGTGGGGCAAAGGCTTGGGTGCTTTCACCTCATGCTCTACAAAAACTGGCAGGTGATCACTGATGGAGTAGTTGATCACGCCGCTACCACGTACCGACTGAGGGCAGGACACCAAAATAACATCGAGCAGGGACTCAGTTGTAGTTGTAATCCTTGTTTGATGCTTAATGAGTTGTTGAAGATTCATTTCAGAAGAGAAATTGTTTAACGCTCTGCTCTCCGCGCAGGCTTTTCTTAGATCACAGTTTAAATCCCCAAGGATCACGATGGATTTGTTGAGCGTCAGTGCTTGCATGTAAGTAGGTTTCAGGGTATCCTCGAAAGCACTAAGGGGGCAGTCATCTGGTCGGTAGGTTGTACACACTATAACTGACTTTGTTTTCTTCCACTGAAGACTTATCCAGAGTTGGTAGAAATTTCTCTCGGAAATTGATGAAAGGTCTTTTAAAACGTTAGCTTTCAAATTATTGCGAGTATAGACACAAACGCCTCCCCCTCCCATGTGGAGCCGATCAAGTCTTGAGAGCTTGCATCCTTCCAAGTTCACCTCCAGTGATGAAACGCTCGTGTTCAGCCAGGACTCAGAGATGGTAAGAACATCGAATTTACCTCTTTTATTCAGTTCTTTAAGTTGGATAAAGTGTTCAGAATGTCAGAGCGAACGAATATTTAGATGAAGAACTTAAAGTCTGTGAGAATCTTGAATTCGGTCTGAGTCAATGATCTCTGGTGGATGAACGGGCGATCTGGCTTTGTTTACATTTAAACGCTCCAATGATTTGAGATTATGTAAATCTGAACCTACTTGGTTGAATCTGGAATCCTTCTTAGGCCTATAACATGCGGGAATATTGGAAATCTTGTTTCGGAATGAAACTCCCGCACGGCCTCCCCTGCTTTTGAAAATGTTCTGGTTCTTAAGCAGACGTAAGAGGTCTTGAGAGAGGGGATATTTCGATCTGAGATTGAGTAATTGATTCCTTGAATAGGCTATTGTTGTGGTGGCGTAATAATTTAAATACGATTCCAGTGAACTTTCTCTTCTTGTCGCAACTGCGTCTTCCTCCGGGCCAGGGTTAGCCTCTATATCCATATGGAGAGTCAAGTCCATCCAGAAAACTCGGCTAGAAAGAGCCAAGACGGTGGTACCATGTCTTGTAGTTCTGCTAATAGGAAGGTTCAAGTTCGAATTAGTTTCACCCTCGTTACGCTTGAAAACCACTTTAAGGGTCACAGCAAAAAATCGCGTAGGAATTGAGCTATCGTGTCATAAAACCCCCATATGGTCCTCAGGAATCTGGTGATCTTTGTTCTGGCTCGGATGGTAATCGAACCTCCCCAGCCACAACGCCGGAAAATCGAGAAAACATAGGATAGAACAGAGCCTTAGAAAAAAGCATGCAGCCAACATGGCGCATACATTACCATACTGGATAGCGTTCGTTATGAAGTCGCAAGGATGGTAATGAGAAGTTCATAGATGAAGCCAATTTTACAAAATAGCTACGAATATGGATCCGCATTTTTAAATTGATTTATTTCCCAAACTACCTGATGAGCCTCACATTTTCATCGTAAATCTAGGGAAACCTTCACACAATTTCCATTTAAACTGCGAGATTTTGTCTTTTTTTCCATTCGTAACCACTGGCTGGAATTCACTGGACCTAGATTTCCGAAACTCTGTGCCTCTTCCTGTTAAAGCAAAAACCCGGTCAAATCTCTTCCCCCCTACTTATAATAGTTCATATGATTGTTCTTTTTAAGGCGTGTATCTTTTGATCACAACCACCTAACACTTTGGTTGTTTAGTCTTGGGCAAAATGTCTTAAAAATTAATAGCGTATCAAGAAAAGCGAATCAAGTTTGATTACAATAGCCTTTCTTAAGTGGTTAAAAATGACCGTATATGGCCACTCTGGAACAAAGATGAAACAGCTTTAAAATACACGCGGGATTTTTCAAAATTTTCGTTTATCATACGAGTGGCATATTTAAACCATCGGCAAAACTGATGGAAAGACACATCCTCCCCGTGGGGGGTGATACTGGTTGAAATGTTTTAGGATGCAAATAGTCACGGTGGGGTGGATGGTGGGGCGACTGTTGCTTTCGTAACTGAAGTAAAGAGATGCCACTGTTTTTTCCTTTCTATTTTTTAAAACTGGCAAAAGATATATTTAATTAAAGGCTCACTGTGCGATGTAATGGTAATGAGAACATGTGTAACACGGTATTAACGTTTGAAGCCTCTTGCGCCGTTGAATCATTTAGAAGACTATCGTCATTCACTCGACTGTTCAATCTGATCAAATTTAGCGCCGCGTGAAATAAATTTTGTTCCTAATGTGCACAAAAGGCTGAATATTCTCCTTCCTCTAGCGTGTGTTTAAACCTGGTAATAACGTCCGAAGCCTCGCACGTCGTTAATTCGTGTATTTTCATGGGTATCATTCTCTTTTCGTATTTCAACTCAACGAAAGGAGGTAAAAAAACAATGGCGAGTGGAAATAGTCGCACGTGTTTGTCATTTTCTCCCATTTGACTCGACTGTTCAATCCGAGTGTTTATCATACAATTGCTAAATGTTTACCGAAGCGTAAATGCATGCGCCCAGCAAAAACTTGACACGCGAAAAAATCACACCCCTTGGTTCGTTAAATGCTGCCTCGCTTGATTGAAAACAAGCATGAAGTCATAACGCCCGCTTTTTGCGAAGGGAAAGTTTGGGAAAATTGTTGATAACTTTATAATTTTAATAAAGACTGTTAGAATCCACCGTTAAACTACAATAGTTTTAAAGAGAGTGACTAACTTCAAGCAAGACTGGTTTTTTTTTTCTCCGAAAGGGAATTTGAAACAAGAAAAAAATTCACACCTTTTTCATTGTGAGACCCAACAACAGTCAATAGATAACAAGTTAGGGTTAATGCTGGGTTAGGGGAGGGGTAGGTGGGCAGTTGCCCAGATACTGATATTGATCCCAAAAGCCTTCATTTGGCGCGAATATGTGCTCCGATATTTTTTGGCATACATGATATGTTCTAAGAAGCGAACAGTAGTTGTGAGTTTCGACGTACAGATTATGTCCAAGATCAACTTAACGAGCACTTTTGCGCTCCAAATGGAGGCTACTGTGTTTGATTTTCTTCAAATAAGCCTCGCTCATAAGCCGTCGTGGCTTCTCGAGACTTCCTCGCTTTTCCTTTTTCTATTTTATATTTCCCATTTATTTTCAATGTAAATTAGCTTTGTTCCCCTTTTATTATTTAATAAAGGAAAATGATTAATAAACTGGACAAATAAATAAGATACTTTTGCAACGCGCGGAACAAAATGTTTACTGCATGGAAGGTTTACTTTCCAGTGTTCTCTGTACGACTTAATGAACAAGAAATATTACTTTTCTTCTGTAACAACGGCAAAACGCACCTACTTCCTCCTTTTAAATTAACTTTTCAGTGGCGTTTGAAGCGACATTTGTTTAGCATTAAAATCTATTGAGAGTTTGAAATAATCGACGTGAGTGCCATACGACTTTTCCTTGACCAGTTTTTTCATGTAGTAAAACGACGGTTTGGCGGCTAAAACTGAGTAATTCCATTTAACTCGCGGCCAAAGCGATCATACTACATAGCTGCGACGTAGAATACATCATTTTAGACATAAGGTTTGAAAATTGGAAAATATCACTTGAGAAATACGTAAAAAATGGCCTTAAATAGACGAGCACATTTCTGCGCCAAATAGGGACTATTGTATTTATTATCCTTCAAATAATTTTGCAGCTAACGGGAAAATGTTTACAAACAGCTTACCGTCTACTGCGTCGAATGTTCACTTTTCTAGTTCTCTGTACGACTTTATGAACAAATATTTTCTTCTGTAACAACGGCAAAACGCTCTCGATGGTGTTCAGGCCAATCACGCGCGAGCAAAATTATTTGAAAGATTATAGTTAACAGTACTTCTTTGAAGACGAAGTGAAGATTGTTGAATTGTTGAATAACCCCCGAAACGAAGTCGAGGGGATTATTCAACAATATTCATTGAGGCCGAGGCAAATAATTGTTTTAGTATAATTTCTCAGGTGCTTTCGAATTCTGTTGTAAATTCGTTTTGTTTTTTAAACCATTTTATTACAATTGTTTTGATTCCTCGTATTAAGATATTAAGTAGCCAGTCTCCACTAGGAATTAACAGGTTTATTTAATTCAATTAGCAAAAACTTCTTATCTTTCTTTTGAAAAGGGTTACGCCAATCTTGGTGGTATCTTTTGTGCTCTTTCGAGTTGTATTTTTTCTTATAGCGTTTATCACTTCCTGCGTAACATTGACCAAACGCGAGGCAGCCATTTTGAAATTTAGCGCCCCTGCTAGATATAACGCAATCCTCGACCAATCAGAGTGCTCATCTCTATAATCACCGTAGCAATTACACTAAATGCTGTTGTAAATTCGTTTTGTAAATTGTAAATTTTGGCATAACTGTTTGGATTACGCGTATCAAGATAAGTAGTAAGTTTCCACTAGAATTTAACAGTTTTCACGTTTATCACTTAAAACGCGAGGCAGTCAATTTTGAAATTTAGCGCCCCTGCTACAATCACCTCGCGCGAGGTGATTATAGCGAGATATGACGCAATCCTGGACCAATCAGAGCGCGTGTATTTCTATAATTACCGGAGCAATAATAATAATAATAATAGTAATAATAATAATAATAATAACATTTTATTGGTTATAACATCGGATATCCTTTCATTGTACCTGGGACGTACTGGGCCAATTTGCGCTTTCAGACCAATCGAGCGCGAGCAAAAATATTTGATAGACTATGATTAACAGCTATTCACCAAAGTGGAGGTAGCTAATGGTGGATTTAACCGTGCGAGTTGCTGGGTTGTGAATAGTCAAGGATATTCGGACTTTAAGTAGCTAGTTAAACCGCTCTTTTAGTAAATGCTAACAGCGGATAGCTTTATGTTTTCCGGGCCACCTAACGCCTACAGACCGATCGCGCACGAAAATATCTGATGGATTGTGTTTTCCATTACAATCCGTGCATAATAATCCATCAAATATGTTGAAAAGTCTCCCAGAAATCCCTCAGCGTCAAATCTCAAACCTAACGTTTATACGAAAAAATCGCTTTCGCAAAAGCTTCTCTATCACTGTCGCCTTCCTGTACATTCTGCGGCTGCTGTTTACCATGTTTACCATATGTAAATAAATTCCAACGTTCGAGACCTTCAGTTGGTCGAAAGAGAGGGACTTGATGATATCTTACAAGCATCAATTAATTAAAGATAGCAAGCTAGTTACGCTGTTTTCGGATCGGAATAAAGAAATTGCTGTTGGTTGTAGTCTTCCGTTAAGAGTTCTTTTTTTTTTTTTTTTTCTCTACTAGATTTATGGAGGCAGTATGAAGATGTCTTAGCGCAGAGCCAGAGTCAACCTACCCGTGAGCAAATAAAACCAACAACATCATTCCAGGAAACGACTGTTTAACTGCATACATATAATTGAGAGCTCCAGGCAACAAGAAATGTACCTATTGGAGGTTTGTCTGCGCTGTCAAATTAAGTCTGTTCAAATTGATAGGAACTAGAGTTGTCTCACGTAGGACCATGGTATAGCTAGAGTATTTTTAAAGATGGATAGATTTTGTTAGAGTAAACTGTTCAAATTTACCATGTAGATCAGCTAGTTTGGGGGGGAGGGCCACGTTAGCCTTGTTACCCCCTAGACTCTTAAGACGCCCTTTGATCTGGGATACATTTCACAGTGGCAATCGCTATTTGTACTGTTTCTCGCCCAATTTTACATAATTACAAAATGTGAACCGAACAGAGTGACACGAATGGCGAGGACGTGTCAGCAATTGATTGGCGATATCAGACACACGTAAAACAGTTATCGTAATTTTACACGTGTGTGAAGTCACGGCTTTTTATAAAAAGCAGCAGTTTATATAACAATATAGAATAGTACGAGGCAATACCTTACTTCAATACTTCATGTTACACGTTAAGAACGCATATTAAGACAACAGTCTTTTCTTTGTGCAATA